GCCGCCGCGTCCGTCCTCCGGGGCGCTGGGAACGAGGCCGGTCTGGCCGGGCAGCACTCACGCTTCCTCCGGCCCAGGGTGCTGGCATCGGGGCCAGCAGGAAGCAGGGGCGCGAATGGAAAGAATGACTCGTCCTTCCGTCTTCCCGGGCGCCGGCTGATACGGGAACCGCTGGCCAGCGACAGTGGAAAGTATGAATCCACCCTGGCCCGGGGCTGAGCACTGCAGAGCAGTCAGACCAGGCCCCACGTTCACACCTGACTGCAGCTCCCTGGGCAGGGCCACTGTCCAGGCCCCGCCTCTGCGAGGGCTGCGGGACCAGAGGCTGCAACCTGCCGGCGGAGACAGAGCTGCAAGGCAGGCACCTGGGCGCCGGGAGGTGGGGTGAGTGCGGGGCTGCTGGGGCTCATCACCTGCCACGTGTGTGGGGGGGAGGCTGTGGGTGCTTTGCCTGGCCCCTCACCGAGGTGAGACCTCATGGTGACCCTAAGAAGTGTGCAGTGTTCCTCCCGCTCTATAGATGGCGACCCAGAGACCCCGAGGTGGCGCAGGGCAGGGATCAAACCCCAGGCCCTGTGAGTGTAAATGCTAAGCCCTGCCAGCTGTCCCCGATCCCGGAGCCCCATTCACACACATGTAAGAGCAGGCTGAACGTCAGGAAAAAGCAGAGAGGCCTGCGACGGGAACGGGGACCGCGGAGGGGGAGGGAGAGGGCAGTGTTAGGCTACCTCTTTGAAAACGTCCTCTAGACAGGCTGTAGGTGAACCCCAGAAACAAAAGCACTGAGCCCTGAGTCAGAGTCCTGCGCCCTTCTAGAGAGGGGCCTGCGCCTCCAGGCGAGGATCAGCCTCTGTGGGAAACGCCTGTAGGCTGCAAAGGTTAAAAAACCCGCCATGTCTGAGCTTCCTGGTCATGTTTTTCAAAAAGTGGCTTGGAATTGAAAGCTGCCTATTCCAACATCCCGACCACTTCCAGGTGCTGCTCCTGCTCACAGTGCCCGGCCTGGGCAGAGCCTTGCGAGGAGGAAAGTACCTTTAGAAACAGAACAAAACTATCAACATCACCACGACGAGCCGTGAATGGATACTGATCCTCACGCAATCTCCTCCAGAAGGTTCCTCACGCAGAGGAGAGGAATCGGAGAAGAAGCCTCCAGCCCTCAGGCCCAAGGCGCCTCTCTCCACCTGCTGGACTCTGACCTTGGACATCAAGAAGCCCAAAGGACAGTCATTTTCAGGCCTCAAGCCGCTACTAATGAAAAAGTCACTAAAAAATGAAGAGCCTCTACTGCACAGGCCTAAAAAATATTTAACACAATCAGGACACCTTGCGTGACTATTTCCATTGAGTATCAAAGAAAATAATCTTTTAAAAAGATGGGAAAACCAGGAAGCGGCCACTGAATTCCACGGAGAGTGAACCGTAGGTGAGGAGGGCACCCCCACAGCTCTGTCACGTTCCTGTAAAGTGGCACTTTCCATGTGATTGCAGAATCAGGGACCAGCCTCATCAGTGACCCCCCAGCTCTGAATCTGTTATCAAAATGCCACAGGGCTGTTCTCTCTCAAGCCAGTCAGTCGGGTATTTTCTCTGTCACCTGGGCTGGATGTGGGGCACGGGGAAAGGAGCTCAGTGGCTGCCAAGTGGAGGTGGGTGCCGTTGAAAGAGTGCAGTATTATGATTTATAATAAGAAGAATATATTTGGTGTTTGTCCTGGTTCATGGCACAGAGCTCCTAAAACCCCCGGAGTTTCTAAGTGATGAGAGAGTAAAGGTATCTTCTGTTATGTTAGTGAGGTGACTTTTGGGCACCATCAGGGGAGACAACCATGTGATCAGAGGACTGTACTTTCAGCCCCACCCCCTAGACCTGCAGGGAAAGGAGCAGGACTGGAAGCTGGATCAGTTGCCGATGGCCGATGATTTAATCAGTCCTGCCTTCACATTCATCACACTGAAACCTCCATAAAACCCAAAAGGACCAGGCTCAAGAGCTTCTGGGTTGCTGAGCACACAGGGATTTGGGGAGAGTGGCATGCTCAGAGCGTGGGAGCTCCGCGCTTTCCCCCACGCCGTGCCCAAGCATCTCTTCCATCTGGCTGTTCCCGAACTATATCCTTTTATACCGAACTGCTGATCCAGTAAGTAACATGTCTCTCTGAGTTCTGTGAACTGCTCTAGCAAACTAATCAAACCCAAGGAGGGGGTCATTGGACCTGCCTGGTTGGTCAGAAGCCCAGGTGACAACCTGTACTTGCGCTTGGCATCTGGAGTGTGTGTGTGGTGGGAAGGCAGTCTTGTGGAATTGAGCCCTTACCTGTTTGGGATCTGATGCTATCTCTAGGTAGATGGGGTCAGAACTGAGTTGAACTGAAGGACACCCAGCTGGTGTCTAAGAATTGATGCTGTGGGGACCTGCCCCCCCCACCTGACACACACGTTGGAACTGGGCCCAGAGTCACTAGCATCAAAAAGAGAACAACCCAATGCTTGTGTTAGGAACAACGGTGCCTGTAAATTCCTGTAGATACTCTTTCCCCCCAGTTTTATCGAGATATGAATGACAAATAACAAATGTATGTATTTAAGGGGAATAACATGATTAATCATATGCATACACACTGTGAAATGGTTATTACAATCAAGCTAATTAACATATTGACATGTGGGTGTGGAGAGAACATTTAAATCTACTCTCAGATACAATCCAGTATCACTAACTGCAGTCACCCTGTTGTACGTTGTATTATTAACTATAGTCACCATGCTGCGAACTGTATTATTAACTATAGTCACCATGCTGCGAACTGTATTATTAACTATAGTCACCATGCTGCGAACTGTATTATTAAGTACAGTCACCCTGCTGCCCACTGTATTATTAACTACAGTCACCTTGCTGCGCATTGTATTATTAACTACAGCCACCCTGCTGCCTGCTGTATTATTAACTACAGCCACCCTGCTGCGCGCTGTATTAGTAGCTACAGCCACCCTGTTGCATGCTGTATTAGCAGCTACAGTCGCCCTGCTGCCAGCTGTATTAACTACAGTCGCCCTGCTGCATACTGTATTAGTAACTACAGTCGCCCTGCTGCGTACTATATTATTAAGTACAGTCACCCTGCTGTGCACTGTATTATTAACTACAGTCACTTTGCTGCGTGCTGTATTAATAAGCACAGTCACCCTGCTGCACACTGTATTATTAAGTATAGCCACCCTGCTGCACACTGTATTCCCTAGAGCCACCCTGCTGCACACTGTATTATTAAGTATAGTCACCCTACTGCACACTGTATTATTAACTACAGTCACCCTGCTGCATACTATATTATTAACTACAGTCACCCTACTGCACACTGTACTATTAACTACAGTCACCCTGCTGCACACTGTATTATTAACTACAGTCACCCTGCTGCATACTATATTATTAACTACAGTCGCCCTACTGTACACTGTACTATTAACTACAGTCACCCTGCTGCACGCTGTATTATTAACTACAGTCACCCTGCTGCGCACTGTATTATTAACTATAGTCACTATGCTGCACACTGATCTTCTCTCCAGAACTAACTCATCTTAAAACTGAAAGTGCACACCCTTTGGCCAACACTTCCCCATTGTGCCCACATCCCCAGGCCCTGGTAACCACCGTTCAACTCTGTTTCCACCAGAGTTAAAATTGCCCTAATAGTGTCACGGGCTGAACTGTGCCCCATAATATGCATGTTGAAGCCCTAACCCCCGGCACTTCAGAATATTTAAAGATTGGGCCTTTAAAGAGGTAATTAACTTAAAAAGAGGCCTTTCAGGTAGGCCCTGACTGGTGTCATCGTAAGAAGAGGAGACTAGGACACAAGATGGGACACCAGACATGTGCACACGGAGGAAAGATCACATGAGCACACGAGGACACAGCAAGAAGGTGGCCATCTGCAAGCCAAGGAGAGAGGCCTCGGGAGAAAGCAACCCTGCTGGCACCTTGACCTTGGTCAGCCTTCAGAGCTGTGAGAACATAAATGCGTGTGGTTTAAGCTGCCTGGGCCGTGGTACGTTGATGTCGCAGCCCCAGCAAGTCAAGACACGAAGCCTCCGTTTGGCTTTGAATCTAGATTGGTCGATAAACTTAACCAGACTTTACAGAGATTCCGTGACCAGAGGGGTCACTGCAGAGGCCTGAAGGCTGGCCATTGAAACACAAACCACACACACACAGACTTCACATGGGCTGTGAAGTCTATCCAAGAGCTACTTCTTTACTCCCAGTTGCCTTAGGACAGCTTCTCTCCAAAGCTCCTGCTGCAGAGCGTGGCTGCCCCTGCTCTTGTCGGAGCCCTGAGGACAGGGACAGCCAGAAGCAGCTTGCAAGAGCCATCTGGGGTGCCCGGGCCTCCTGACTGTCACCATGCACCAATGTGTTGACTTTAACCTTTTGCCCATATTCTAGAGGCAGAAAAATCTCATGCCTTATTTCAAGTAATCTCTATTAATATCCCTCCCTAGCCCTCAGAGGATATGAAGAATCCAAAATGAAACCAGAAACTCAGCTGGTAATATCCAAAATGTCTCATTCAGAATGAATTTGTCAAAGCAAAGGAACTGGGAAAGTAAGCCTTCCAACACCAGAGAGTGTCTCTTTCTGAATGTTTCCACCAAATCTAAGAAAACAGATATCCCCATGGTTAAAAGAACTGCACTTTGTAAAAATAAACCTTCCTGATTACAGTTTGTTCTTGTGAATGAGTCCTTAAATACAGCCAAAGGTTTTCTTTTACCGACCCCACCCGCTTACTGACAGCAGTGGAAAATTACCTCCCCTGTGAAACATAATCCTGTGGATAGTAACACCTATTACGGTTTCCATCAAATTGCTAAGTGAGGTGGTGTAATCGGGGACAGGCAGGGGAAGTTACAAAGGGCGCAGAGGACATCAATTCTGAAGGGGAAAAGACTGAGGAGATCATACCTTGGTTTTGACTAAGGATCATGTGCTTACAGATTAACAAGAGCTCTCAGCCAGGCTTCCTCAGACCACTGCAGAGCATGTACCTGCCTGCCTGGTGACAGTCTTTCTGAAAATAAACCTGGACATTGTCTCATCTGACCTTCACCAGAAGATTCATAAGAGCATCATGAATCCAAAATTAAATGCACACTAACCGCCAGTCCCTGCAGCTTCGTGGAACGTGTGGCGTTAGGGATAAAAGCAGAGATCGCCTGTTATCTGAGGGTCATGCATGGATGTGCATTTAATGGACACCTCTGTACGCAAGGGCAATGTTTTAAATTTTTACATAGACTGTGTACTTGGGTTCTGATGAAAATAATTTATAAATGATTCTTGTCTAAAACGATTTTTTTTTCCTTTTTCTGGGAAAATCGGTAACAGTTTCAAAAAAGTTTAAGAATTTCAGAGATTCTGTAAGATTTCAACCTCACCCTTTTAACTCATTTTGGTGACTATCACATTAACAGCTCAAGGTCTTTAGGGACAGATGGGTGGATGGATGGATAGATAGGATAGACAGATAGATGCAAATCTATAGGCATTTACAGAAGCAGCACATGCTAAGATATTATTTCTTCTTTATAGTTTCTATTAGACCTTAGAAAGTCAAGGGTACCCCTGTAATCTCTAGAATAACTGCCCAGAACAGTAATGTGTAACAAGCAAGTTAGTAGAGTGGAACAATGAAATAATAACAAGGTAATAACTGCTTCAAAAGAAGTCAAAACAGGAATATAAAATAAGCGGAACAAATAGAAAACAAATAGTAAGATGACAAAGAGTAGAATGGAAAAAGTTATACCATATAAATACCAATCGGAAGAAAGCAGATTCAGCTGTCTCGTATCGTGCAAATAGACACAAAGACAAGAAGAATTCCTAGCAAAAAAGAGGGGCATTTAATAATGATAAAAGGGCCAATTTGCCTGAGAGATAGTCCAAATTTGCATGTGCCTGATAATATTGTGTAAAAGTTGACAGATCAGAAATGAAAAATACATCAAAATCATAGTTGGAAATTTTAACGCTTTTCTCAGCAACAGCTACACCAGATAAGTAAGGTAACAGGTGACATGAAGACTAGTAAGGCAACAGGTGACATGAAGACCAGTAAGGCAACAGGTGACATGAACAATGCAAGTAACAAATGTAACCCAACAGACCGTAAGCTGCTGTGAAGTGCTACACCTAACAACTGAAGAATACATACTCTCTCCCAGTACATATGAATGGGCTCTCTGCTGAGCCATAAAGCAAGTCTGAAAGAATGTCAAGAGGCTAAGAGTGTTTTCTCATCACATTGTGGAATTATGCTAGGAATCAATGACATAAAAGATAACCAGAAAATCCCCAAGTGTTTACAAGGAAGTACTTCATTTATAAATAAGCTGTAGGTCAAAGAAATTAAAGTGGAAATCAGAAAATATCTTGAAGTGAAAGATAATGAAGATGTGACACATCAACGCTGTAAGATGCAGCAAAAGCCATTTTAGAGGAAAACTTATAATATTATATGCATATATTAGGAAAAAAGATGGAAAATCACTGATTTACATATTATTCTCAAAAAGCAAGAAAACAGAACAGCAAATGTAACCCAAAGAAAATAGGAAGAAAAAAATGAGTAGAAAACTTCAAGCGGAAACAAATATACAATAGAAAAAAATTAACGGTCAAGTATTGGCTCTTTGAAAACATTAATAAATTCAATAAACCTCTGACAGGACTAATTAAGAAAAATGAGAGAAAGTACAAGTTGCTGTTATCAAAATGGAAAAAGGAGACATCACTACAGGTCCTACAGATATTAAAAAGTCTACAAAAATATAACTAAACGTTTTATGACAAGATATTTAAATTTTTTTTTTTCTTTTTTTCTTTTTTTTTAATATATCTTTATTGATTTCAGAGAGAGGAAGGGAGAGGGAGAGAGAGAGATAGAAACATCAATGATGAGAGTCATTGATTGGCTGCAGCCCACAACCCAGGCATGTGCCCTGACTGGGAGTCGAACCCTGATCGCCTGGATCCTAGGTCGACGCTCAACCACTGAGCCACGCCCGGCCGGGCAAGATATTTAAAATTTTAAAGAAAATAGACAAATTCCTAGAAAATTACAACTTACAAAACTGACAGAAGAGAAAACCAATTAGGTCTATATCATGTTAAATTAAATCTCTAAAAACTTCTCCAGGCCCTCATAGAAGACCAGTGAAACCCTCCAAACATTGAAGAAACAGTATTGGTTATACATAGGCTTCAACAGGAAAGACAAAAGGGGTACTCTTCCCATTTATTTTATGACTTTACCATAACTTTGATTCTAAAGCTGGACACAGATGTTAGAAGATTGACTAATGTCTCTCATGAGCATAGATCTAAAATTCCAAAACAAAAACAGTATGGCAAAGCTGGAGTTATTTAAAAAAAAAAATGCACCACAAATAAGGAAATGTGAACATACAGGGTGGAACAAAAGGAAGTTTACAGCTGTTCGAATGGAAACTAAGACAATAATTAATAAATAATAATACAAGAGTGAACTGGGTCTCGCATACCCACAGCTGTAAAACTACGTGTAGGAGAACGTTACGGCAGCA